CCTCAAAAGGAACCCCAATACCTTTATCAGTCACTCTCCAGTTTCCCCAAACTTCTACCACCCCACCCGCCTCCTTGGCAACTACTAATGTACTTTCCTTCTCTAATGGATCTGCTGATTGTAGACATGTCATATAAATGGAATTATACAACTTATAGCCTTTCGTGTCTGTCTTTTTCACATAGCAAAATATGTTCAAGGTTTATCCATATGGTAGCATGTATCAATACTTCATTTCCTTTTACCGCCAAATAACATTCCACTGTATGGATGTACTACATTTTACTTATCTGTTTATCAGTTGATGGACAGTTGGGTTGTTTCCACATTTTGTCTATTATGAATAATGCTATTATGGATATTTGTGTACAGATTTTTGTGTGGATGTATGTTTTCATTTCTGTTGGATATATACCTAGGAGTGGGATTGCTGGATCATATGGTTATGCTATGATTAACATTTTGAGGAAATACCACGCTGGTTTTCAGAGTAACTGCATCATTTTACGTTCCCGTTACCAATATACAAGCCTCCCACTTTCTCCACATCCTCACCAACACTTCTTACTGCCCATGATTTTAATTGTGGCCATCCTAGTGGGTGTGAAGGAGTATCTTATTGTAGGTTTGGGGTTTTTTTCCCTTTAATTAACAGCGTCCCGTCTTGCCTTCCCCCCAGCCCCTGGCAACCACCATTCTGCTTTCTGTTTATTTGAATTTGACTACTCTAGATACCTTTGTAAGAGAAATCATAGCATATTGTCTTTTTTGTCTGGTTTATTTCACTCAACATAATATCCTCAAGGTAGTCCATGTCATAGCATGTGTCAGAATTCCTTCCTTTTTAAGGCTGAATAATATTCCACTATTTTGTGTATGTATCACATTATAATATATATGAATTATATATATTAGTTACATTTAAAATGTGATATATGTATATATATATGTTTGTTTATCCATTCATCTATAGGAAGACACTTGTGTTGCTTCCAGCTCTGGGCTGTTGTAAATAGTGTTGCAATAAATATGGTGTGCAAATACCTCTTTGAGATCCTGCTTTTAATTCTTATGGATGTATACCCAGAAGTGGGAATGCAAGATCATATGGGAATTTTGTTTTTATTTTTTTGAGGAACCACCACAGTGTTTTCCATAGTGGCTGCACCATTTCACATTTCCACCATCAATGCTCAAAGGTTCCAATTTTCCACAGTTTCACCAACGTTTCATTTCATTCATTTGTTTTGATAGTAACCATTACAATGTATGTTGAGGTGATATCTCACTGTAGTTTTGGTTTACAATTCCCTAATTGTTAATGTTTTTATCATCTTTTAATATGCTGGTAGAACAATTGTATATCATCTTTGGGGGAATGTCTGTTCAAGTCCTTTATCCATTTTATAATGGCGATATGCATTTTTTGTTGTTATTGAGTTTTAGAAGTTCTAATGGATTCTGGATAATAGTTCCTTATCAAATATATGATTTGAAAATATTTTCACCCATTCTTTAGGTTGCCTTTTCATTCTAAGTGTATCCATTGATGCAAGGGAATTTTGAATTTTGACGTAGTCCAATTTTTTTTACTTCTACTGTTGCTGCCTGTGCTTTTGGTGTATGATCCAAGTCATCCTTGACAAATCCAGTGTCAGGAAGTATTTCTTGTGTTTTCTTCCAAGTGTTTTATAGTTTTAGATCCTTGATCCTTTTTGAGTTAATATTTTTATATGGCATAAGGTAAAGTTCCAACTACATTCTTTTGCATGTGGATATCCAGTTTTTCCAGTACATTTGTTGAATAGACTGTCCTTTCCCCTTGCATTGTCTTGGTACCCTTCTCAAAAATCATTTCACCATCAATGGGAGGGTTTATTTCTGTGATCTATGTTCTATAATCTGTCTATATTCTAGTACCAAACTGTTTTGATTACTGTAGCTTTGTAATAACGTTTGAAAACCAGAGGTTAAGACCTGCAACTTTGTTCTTCTTTTTCAAGATTGTTTTAGTTGTTTGGGATCCCTGGAGATTCCATATGAATTTTATGTTGGATTTTTCTATTTCTACAAAAAATGCTATTGGAATTTTGATAGGGATTGCATTAAACCCGTAGATTGCCTTTGGTAGTATTAACATCTTAACAATATTGTCTTCCAATCCATAAATACAGGATGTATTTCCATTTATTTGAGTCTTCTTTCATTTCTGTCAGCAATTTTTTGCAGTTTTCTGTGTACAAGACTTTTACCCCCTTTGGTTAAGCTTATTTTTAAGTATGTTATTCTTTTTGTTGCTATTGTGATTGTAATTGTTAATTTCCCTTTCAGATTGTTCACTGTTAGTGTATAGAAATGTAACTCATTTTTGTGTGTTGGTTTTGTAACCTCACTACTTTGCTGCCCCCCTGTATGATGAACTGTTCTCTTTAGTAAGTGCTTAGGATTATTTCTGGGCAGCACAATTATCACAGGAACAAGAAGCATGCAATGCGGATTTTGCAGCAGAAATTCAGCTGCTGCTCTTCACAACATGCTCCCAGATCTCTGTGGAGGGTTCTGCTTGTCAGATCTTCCCTGTATTGGTGTCTGCATCCTGCATCCCTCATGTAGCCTCTTTGTTCCTGTCTTTAATATAAAGAATGGACTTGAGTGAGAATGAGAACACCAAGTTCTTTACTAGACACTAAACAGCTTAACCTTGAAAACTCAAAAATACCTTTAAAAATGCACATCAAAATCTCCTTTCTGTGTCTCAACTGAATGGCTTCCCTGGTCTGCTCTGCCATCTCTCTTTCCATATGACGTGTCCTGAGCTTTGGGAGAAAAACACATCTATGTTCAGTCAAGGCAGACTGTGCACAAAAAGGAAAGAAAGAAAAAAATTCCTTATCCAGTTATATGAGCATTCTTTTCATTAAGACTAATGTGAAAACAAAACAAATCAAATTATGTATGTTTGGAGGTCTTAAGGACCAGTGTAATCATCTGCATGAGGTACTGAAGGATTGTATAACTGTCTAGCAGAATGCAGGTTACTCAGTGTCTGAATGCATGCTCTGCTTGCTGCAGTTTTTCTTCCATTTACTGAATTTGTTGCCTATGAGTTACAATTGCCATCAACAGATAAAGCACAATATTGATTAAAATTTTAAAGAATCTGCTCATTTCCCATTACCCTGGCAGCTGTATGCTTGTAGACTGTGTTCATACCTATAAAAACACATTTCAAAAGACTGTAGGAGTACTGTAGCATCAAAAGTATTGCTGTATATTTTCTTTATTTTTAATGCCTTAACGGTTCTGAGTTAATAATACAATTTCTTTAATTCTCTAATTCATCCTTTATGAATGTCTTTCATCATAAATCTTTATTCTTTCTTCCCTACTATCCTTAGTAAAAGAACAAATCTGAAAGGATAAGAGACTGTATTTGAACTGAATGAGAAGAGGTCAATAAAATATGTCTCTGTCTGGCCTAGGCATTCCATTTTGTGGGACAAGATGGTATGGTCTCAGAAACACCCCTTAGAATCTAGAAATTTGAATACCTTAAACAAGAGTGGATAAATCTTCTCTCTGCCACTCTACTACCTGCTTCTGTGGGCTTAAAATTATGTACATAAAAGGGAACAAAAGACAAGTTGACTTTCATGATTGATCTCCCAGGGATCTCTAAGAAACCCATAAATTTTGAGAGAAATTTCTTCAGCTTCTCTCCTGTTAGACTCAGGGATAATACCTACAGTTCTTGGTGGGACCAGGAGTTACAAGTGGTTGGGTCCCTCATAAGGTGACTCTGAGACCAGGATGTGAGGGCAAGTAGTTTATCTGGGAAAGGCCTTCAGGAGGCATCTGTTGGAGTTGGGGACATGAGGCAGAGGAAGAGCCAACACCTGATACAGGGTGTTAGTGGGAAGGTCACTGCTGTCGGCAACCGTGGCTCAGTCCCACGGGGAACCTCCCCAAGACTGTGCAGAACAGCCTTAGAGTCAGCCCCTCCAAGTGTGGGAAGTGACACCAATTCCTGTCCTTCACAAATTGAGGGCTCCCATGGACATTAATTCCCTGACAGGAGAGCTCACTGCCAGGGCCAGAGGAAGCCCTCAGGTAGAGAGCTGCAGATGGTTGCAGGAAAGTCACTGTAAAACAGCAGGGAGTGCCAAGGAGAAGACCAGGGTACCAACACAATCCTCCCCCGCCTCAATTCTAATAACACGGCCCAAGATATCTAGATCATTGAGAAATTGGTGTAGTACTGAGACATCAGAAGTAAAGAGACTGACATGTTTCCTAGCCTAAGACATTATCATTCACAGTCCAACACTGTCACCTTTTAAATACAATGTCTTCCTTCCAGTGACCACCCCAATCACAGTTTCACTCTGGAGGCTTCAATTCAAGCCAACTCCAATGTAAGCACTCTTCAAAACTCGCCAGGGACAAAGACCCACTCCTTTATGGCACTGCCTAGGGTGCACGACTTGTGCATAGAGGAATGAAGAGTTTCTTCCCTCAGGAAAAAAATGCCCACTCCTTGGAGTTTCAGAAACCACTGGATCTAAAGCTTAGAAGTGCTGAATGTCCTCGAAGTCAGTGTTAATGAGTCCACTTCTTCAAACTTCACAGTAATTGAGAATTTGTTTCAAAGACAGTACATTAACTCTAAGACAGTACATTAAACAAACAGAAGTATTCATTCAAAAGAACATAGTCAGCAGGTCAGTGGGACACAGGACAGGTGAAGTGGACTCTCAGGAGCAGCTGGAGGAGACGAGCCTCCTCTGAGCCTTCTCCTGTTGGGTGCGGCCTTAGCAACACAGATGCTTTAATAGCGTAGTGCCCCTTATCCACGGTTTCACTTTCCTCGGTTTCAGTTACTTGTGGCCCAAAAATATTAAATAGTAGATTCCAGAAATAAACAATTCATAGGTTGTAAATTGTGCACTGTTTCGAGTGGCGTGATGAACTCTCTCAACATCCTAATCTGTCTTGCCCAGGACATGAATCATCCCTTTGTTGGATCCCCAACCATCAACACAGTCTGCTCCTGACATCAGACCATTGATATGGTCATGGCTTAATGATCCTCCTCCTGAGTATGATCAGAAGGTCAATACAGCCTAACGTCATGTCACAATGCCTATGGCATTCACCTCACTTCATCTCATCAGGTAGGCATTGTATCATCTCACATCATCACAAGAAGAAGAAGGGCGAGTGCAGTACAATAAGATACTTTGAGGGAGAAAGCATTTTCACATAACTTTTATTACAGTACATTGTTGTAATCATTCTATTTTATTATTAGTGATGGTTGTTAATCTCTTACTGGCCCCAATTTATAAATTAAACTTTATCACAGGTATGCATGCATAGGAAAGCACATAGAGTATGTAGGGTTTGGTACTATCCACAGTTTCAGGCATCCCCTGGGGGTCTTAGAACGTCTCCCCCTCAGATAAGTGGGGACTGTGGTACTCTCTCTTGACCAATCTCCTGCCTTCCCCCGTTCCATCACAGTGGACCCCATGTGACCTCATTTTTAGAACACCCCTCCCTGACCTGATGCCCCACCACACACGATCCTAACGACAGTTCCTCTCTGGAACCTTCCAAGACCTTGTGATTCTGGTCCTTCCCACTCAACCTCCTTCTTTCTGGAACACTGCAGGTTTCCCCATAGTCAGTCTCGGCTGCAAACCATATAAAACAAACAATGGCGGAACTGCAAAAAGAATCAAATACACAAGCAGAGTAGGAGATTGTTACCCTCCCTCTCAGCAATTCACAGACTAAGCAGATAGAACATCAGTAGGGATGGAGAAGATTAGAACAGCAAAGCATCTTAGCCTGATAGAAATATATACAGAGAGAAATTATTACACCAAACAACTGTGGAGTATACATTATTTTCAAGCGCATGTGGTACATTTACAAAAATTAAATAAAAATTAAACCCATTTGGATATAAAGCAAATCTCAATATATTTCAGAGGAATGAAATGACACAGAGCATGTTCTGAGATCATAAAGTAATTGTGCTGGAAATCCATGATAAAAACATAGACTAGAAATTTCCATAAGTTTGGGAATTGAAAAGTAACCCTAAGAATAAGAGTCAAAGACTATATTAGTACTGAATGATAATGATCATAATAATATAGCAATAAAATACATCTCCATCTGCCCTGGGAATTCCACTCTGTGACAAGAGTGTATGGTCTCAAAATCACCCCCAATTAAACAGACAGGTTCACACCTGAAACAGTGGTGAACATGTCACTTATCTGTCACCCTGCTGCCTGTTAGCCTGGGCTTTACATTATGGACCTCAGTGGGGAAAATCCAAGCTCGCTCTCTCATAATTGATCTCTGGGGATCTCCAGAAAAGTGAGAATTTTAAGAGAGAAAGGTCACCAGCTTCTCTCCTGGGGGGACCTGGGGACAACACCCAGGGAGCTTGGCAGCACCAGGAGTGTTGGGTGTGAAAAGCCAAGCAGGTAGAAGGGGCCCAAGGACCCAGGTGACTAGGACAAACCCCACTGGAGATCATCTCTCCTGGGCCCCGTCCTGAGGCGCTGTTCCCTAAAGCACTGTTCTGCATGATTGCACACAGTGTTTCCCCAACTTGTTCAGGCCCATGGCAGCTTAAAATCATTGCTTTAAATCCCACCACTTTTTATTATTATGTAAATCTATAGCAAACAGGAAACATTCCATCACTGTTATAATGGAAAATCAATGTCTAATACCATAAATATAAGGAAACCATAAAAACAAGCAAAACACAAACAAAACAAGGACAACAAAACAACAGTGTGTATGAAATTCCGTTTAGATGCTGTTGGCTGCCTAAAGAGCCCCAGAGGTGGGCCGTCTTGGTTATACAAGGAGGCACCAGTACAGAAGGCGTGGAAGTCGGACCAGCCCAGAAGAGAACAGGAGAGAGGTCCAGTCTGTAAGGGACCGGGGAATTCCATTAAGGATGCCAAGGTCATCCTCATCAGCGCTGCAGTAGGGTTGAGGGGGAGAAGGAGAAGTGACAGAGGTTTGGGGCCTGGAACAGGGGAGATCATTCCTGCAACTGAGGAAGCGCTCACTCCCCAAAGCCAGTGTCAGCCTCCCATGGAGGGGAGCCCTTCGTGGCCCCTGGAAGGCAGGCCAGGAGCCTTGGGCTCGAGACCCAGCTGTGCTGCTTTCCAGCTGTGTGACCCTGAGCAGGTTTCCTTCATTAAAATGGAAGCGTCCATGCCTGCATCCAAAGACTGTTATAAGGACAAGAAGAAGTCACGTTCTGAACCCCTGTGCACATCAGCAGCATCATCTCCCAGGGGAATCTGTCCTCCCAGAACTGGTGCCTTGAAGGTGTGCAGCCATTAAAGGCATCAGTGACAACCAAAGGCCCCTTTTGTGGGCCTGTGCTAAGCACTGCACTGTGCAGGCGTCATCTCATGGGATCCGGAGGTCGGTACCATCTCTATCCACCTTGCACACATGGGGAATCAGGTTGAGTGCGGGCAGGGAAAGGGCTGTACCCAGACTGAGAAAAGGGTCAGAGGGGACTTTGGTCTGGGAGGTGATTTTGGGAGAGGGGGAGGCTGAGGCCTGGAGACCACAGAGGGAGAAGGGGCCAATGAGAAGCTTTGCCCAGGGCCCAGCTTTGCTTGGGGTCTGCCCTGCTCAGACGATGAGGCCAAACCAGCCAGCTATGGTCACACCCCTTGCTCTTCGACCTGAGACTGACTGGTGGTGATGATAATATTGTCATATAATAGTCCTGATGATGGCATTATTGTTATTGTCAATATCGTCAATATTGTGGGAGAGTCCACTCTGAGGCATGGCAGGGTCCTGGGGAGGTTTGCCTCTCTTCCTCTCTTCTCCTTGGGATCTGCTAAGCCCCATCCAAAACACTGTGCACACTGTCAGGGTCCCTGTCCCTACCCTGGGCCCCTGTCCCCAGAGCAACCCTGCCCTGGTCACTACTCTCTGGCATCTCAGGACGCAGGCACAGCCATCCAGAAGGCCCTGGCGTGAGGCAGATCCCCAGCCCTTGCTTTGGAATCAGGAAAACGCCCCCTTTCATGACAGATTAGGTGGGGCAGGTCATGCCGGGGTCTATTCATCCTGTCTGCCTGCGGTGGCCTCCATTGAGTGCCAGGGCTGTCTGTCTGTCTTGTGGGCTGGGATAGGGGATGAGGGTCGGGAGTGTGTGTGTGTTTGTGCATGTGTGTTTGGCTGTGTAATTCTGCATTATGGACCTGAGAGTCTGAGTTTCTGTGTCTGTGAGTATATTGACTGTGGACATGAGTTTTCTGCTGTGTGACACTCTCTGTGTCTCTGTGTATTTCTTTATGCATTTGTGTGTCTGTATCTCTAAATGAGTGTGTGTCAGTTGTGCAAATCTCTGTGTGTGTCTCTGGGCATGTGTGTCCCTGCTGGAGCATCTGTGTCTGTATTTTATATCTGTGTGTGTTGGTTGTGTGTGTGAATTTGCTGCCCCTTTGGGTGTTCTTGATTGTATCTAAGTGTATGTCTGTGTTCTCTGTGTGTGTGTCCAATGTGTGTAGGGTTTGCCCTATAGGGCTGTCTCATGTGGCCCTAAGTGTGTGTGTCTGTGCGTGCATATGTTCTCCTCAAGGGTTGTTGCCTGTGTCTGCAGTGTGGGTCTGTGTGTGAGCCTGTCCCTGAGCCCTATGCCTGAGTCCCCAGGTGAGGATGGAGGTGATTCCATGCCTGTGCTTGTGATGTCTTATTTCCCTAGGAGTGTGTGTGTCTGTGCACCCCAGAAAAGGGCAGCTGCAGAGGGGATTTCTCCAAGGGTGACCCTAACGGTGGGTGAGAAGGAGACAGTATGTGCTTCTCCCACCCGCAGCCTCGGCCCCTTCTGCCTCTGCTCCTCCCAGCCTCTGCTTTTCCCCCTAGTGGTCCCATCTCAGTCTCCAAGGATGGACAGAGTGAAGGATCAGTTCACAGAACCACAGGCCAGCGGGGCAGGAGGGCTCTGAATGTCAGGAGGGTGTTATAGAGTGTGAGGGGAAGGATGTCGGGGGGGATACTGGACCCCTGGGAAGGGCTGGGGGATACCTGGGCCTTTGGAAGAGATGAGCGGGTGGGCACATATCGGGGAAAGCTGAGGGGCAAAAGCTCCTGGGTATGACTGAAGGACTGGGTACCTCTGGAGAGGTCTGGAAGAGTCCTACAGGACTCCTGGGTTCCCAGAGAGCAGGTCCCTCACTCACCCATGTGGGACTTAGGCTGGGACCTAGGAGAGACTGGTGTCTGGGGCTGCTCAGAGCATCTCTCCTGGACCTCTGTGTCTGGGCCATCTACTGGGTGCACAGGGCCACCCAGGAAGCTGGGGCCAGCAGGGAGAATCAGGCCCCGGGCTCACTCTGATGGGGATTGGGGCCAATTACAGAGGGACCAGATTTAGCATAAGTTCATCAATAGAATGAATGCACAACACAGGGGCACCGTTGATGTTCATATTCATATTTTATTACCTCCAGCCCCAATCTGTGTGCTCATCTGGGCAATCCAGAAGGAAGAGGAGACTTGGAGGAAAAAGAGTGACTGATATTAATCTGAAAGAAACAAAAATGCTGAAATATTGGCACTCCTGATACTCTTCCAAGTCAACTCTCTCAACACCCCCATCCTCACCCTCGCCATATGGGGAAACTGAGCTGGCCAGGGATTTACCCAGTCACGCAGTGGTTTCTGAGTTTATTGACGATTACAGCTGACCAAACTCCTTTTTCCGAAGTTCATTCCTTTTAATCTTGCCAGTGATGGTTTTGGGCAGCTCTGGGACAAACTCCACCTGGTTGAGGAGAAAGCAAATCCACCCTGACTTAGTCCCGCTGTCATTTCCTACCAATCCCCCCTCCCCTCCTTTGCTCCTGCATAGTGCCCCAGACTGCACAGTCCCCCTGAAGGCGGATGCAGCCCTGGGACAGGCTTTGATCGAAGAAACGTGAGTGGGAGTGAAGTGTGCCACCTCTAACAGAAGAGTTGGGAACCACTGAGCCTGGCCACCCTCTCTGTCCATCTCTTATAGCACCTGGCAGATACCTGCATGGTGGCTGCTCCTTTATCCTGGTCCCAGGAGAGCCTGGACATGGTGGACATGTGACATGAGCAAGGAAGATGCCTTCCTTGTTATAAGCCGCTGAGACTTTGGGGGCTATTTGTTCCCCACAATAACATCTAGCCCATCCTGCCTGCTTCGTGCCCTCTGTTCTCTCTGGGAGGCAGCAGAGCCTGATGTTAGAAGCATGAACTCTGTTGTCAGGTACACACGGGTCTGAGTTCAGCTCTGCTTTTTATTAACTCTAATCTCTGGCAACGTACTGTGAGTCTCTGAGCCTCAGTTTCCTCTCTGTGAAGCAGTATGATTAGAACATCTCGGGTTGTGGAGATGATTAAATAAAATAGTAATGCATGTGAAGCACTGAGTCCAGGGCCTGGCCCACATGCTACACGTTCAATAGATGTTAGCTCTTTATTTCTAGTCTGTATTGTCAACATTCAGACAATGAAGCGAAGTACGATTACAGAGGAAGAAAATGTGAACTTTTGGCATATGTATCCTTTCAAACTTTGCTTTTAAAGCAAATAAATAGGATACTATCATGTATATTCTTTCATTTCCTGCTTTTTTCTCTTAATAATATATTGTTGTGATATTTTAATATTAAAAATAAAAGATTTGCAATATCATTTTGAATTACAGGATAATATTAAACTTCATGAATAACTTAATCGTTTCTCTATTGTTGGACATTTTTGGAGTTTGCATGCAGCATTTAAAACAAAAGAAGGAGAATAAAGAATATCAGAATACATTGCATGTTGTAAGGATAAACATTATTTTGTTAATTTTTGTTATGTACATATATATGTATTGAGCTGCAATATAGAATGTATTTCTTAGCATGAATTATGTTTAAAAACAGTTTGGAAGCTGCTGATTTGGATTTCTTTCTCAAATTTTGAAAGATTTTAAACAACCTTCTTGGATAGCGTTGGGCACTTGTCTGATTTTTTCCTTTAGGTTAACGTGCCAGTGATGGATTCTTCTTTGGTTTCTGACACAGGATAGAGGTTCCATTGGATTAAGTTGACTCCACCCCACCCCTACGCCAATTGTCTCTTCTGAAGAGAAAAATGCTAGTCCCATTGGCTGTTTAAGGTTCACCCCAGCCACCCTCTGAGACTTGGGGCAGCGAAGCGGCAGGAACGGCTCGGGGGACCAGCCCGTCCGTCTGCCCTCACTCACCTTCCTCGGGTACTTGTACGGAGCCGTCACTGACTTCACGTGCTCCTGCAGCTCCTTGGTGAGCTGGTCCCTGTCCCGGGACAGAAACTGTGGGGTCAGGACAACAAACGCCTTCACCACCTGCGGTGCAGAACCAGATGGGAGGCTCAAGGTGAGTGCCAACCAACTGAATAGTTTAAAAAAGTAAATATTTACTTAATGAACAAAAAAACCAAGTTGACATTTGAGCCTTTGGAACAGGACAGGACCAGGTTCTAGTGCCAATACTTCCAGTCTCCACTCTACGCCTCGCAAAGTTACTTAACCTCTCGTACCCTCACTTTCCTTCTCCGTGGAATGGGGACAGTACAGGTTCATTCCTCGCTGGGTTTATGTAAAGATTCCACAAGATAATACATGTAAAACATGAAGCTAGTTTAACTTTATTATTATTCCTATCAGCATTATCATCCTCATCATTTTTGCTATTGTTGTATGTATACTTCTGTGCCTGGAACCTTGTGGGCATTTAATAATTGTGGTAATTTATTATTCTTATGTTATTATTTATGGACAGGGCCTTGTACATAGCAGGTGCTCAGTAAACACCTGCTGAATCAAGGAAGGCATGCTCTGGAGCCAGACTGCTTAGATTCTCATTCTGCTCCACCACTGTGTGATCTGGGCACGTTGTTTAACTTCTTTAGGCCTCTGTCTCCTTATGTATAAAAAGGGTATAATAAGTGTCCTGAACTCACTAGGTTGTTGGGAGGAATAGATGAGTGAGCACATAATAAGAGCTCATTAAAATATTAGACGTCAGCAGCAGTGGCAGCATTTTCAGTCACACATGAGGCCACAGTGCCCCCTGGTGACCACACAGTGTAAGTGCACACGCACACCAACTGTGCCCTCCCTCCAGCCTAGGTCCTGGGTAGATATGGCCTGGAAGTTTCCCCTGCACCTGCTTTCCCAGCGCCCACACAGACACGATGCCCTCCGTGTCCTCTTCCTCACCTCCCCTCGAATCGGGTCCGGGCTGCTCACCACAGCTGACTCAGCCACTGCTGGATGCTCGGCCAGGGCACTCTCCACCTCTGCTGGCCCGATGCGATACCTGCAGGATCGATGGTTCCTTCTCTGGTTCTGAGCAGATGCCAGGGCTGGGGTGACCCAGGCCCTCGAATCTCATGTTCTGGGGGCTCATATCTCCCCTTGGCACAGAGGGTAACTGTCACAGGGAGTCAGAGGCCTGCGAAAGGCTGTGTAGCGGGACCACTACAGGAGACCTGGACGTTCCATGCTAAGAAACACGAGGCACAGATGCTCTTCAGGGCGTCTGACCTCGCTGCTTCTGGGAGGGAGGAGAGTGGAAGCTCCGTCCTCCTAGAGCTCTGCAGCTCGGCTTAAGGAGCCTCCTCCAGCATGGAACCTCTTGGAAGCCTCAAACTTTATCTTAAACATTCATGAAAGTTCTCCATCCCATTCCCCACTACATCAGCATTTGTTTTAGAAATTAAAAAATAAAACAATCTCAATTTCCGTGAAATAATCAAGAGAGCTTTTTACTTGTGTCATTTTCCCCCCTAGATCACGTAAGGGTTGGGACAACACGTTGGGAGACACCCTACCTTGGTTTGAATCTGGTCTGCAAACTGTACTGTCTTTGAAACTTTAGACAACTTACTTCACTGGTCAGTGACTCAGTTTTCTCATGTGTAAAATGAGCATAATAATTGCATCTACTGGGTTATACAAAACACTGAGGAGAGTGCTTTCACATAGTAAGTACTCCATAATGCTTAGCTGCGATGATGATGATGATGATGATGATGATGATGATGATTTTCTGTGAGATGTTGTGCCCATCAGAGGAGCACGGAGAACAATCTCCTCCCACCAATAGGAGCCAAAACAAGTCTCTCTTCCCGTGCCATCCCTTCTCTTTAAATTGCGTGATGTCTTATTATGGTTTTTCTTCCAGACCTTCTTGAACTTCGTTTTGATTGCTTCTTCTGGATGCAGGGGTTGGGGGAAGTGCACAGATACCCCAGGGCCAGGGCCCCATAGACGTGGCTCTGTTCAGAATTAGGCTGAGGGTCCCATGCCCAATGCATGGAGGAATGTCTGGGAAAGCTAGACCCCACCAGGCATGTGAGGGTGATCCCTCCTGGCTCAGGGTCAGCCACACCTACCCAGAGGCATTGATGACATCATCACTCCTCCCCAGGAACCAGATGTAGCCCTCTGCATCCATGGTCGCTCTGTCCCCAGTGTTGTAAAAGTCCCCACACTCCGTTTCTGCTGTCTTCACAGGGTCATCCTGTAAACAGAACACCACCCCTTTATGGAGAAGGCAGCGAGTTTAGCGATGAAGAGCTGCAAGCTGGGGCTCAGATCTGGGTTCAAATCCTCTTTCTCGCTCTACCTGGCACCTGGTCAAGTCTCATCACCTTTCTGAGTCTATTTTCTTTACATGCAAACACTCAATGCATGCTACTGCTCCATTAGTGGGCAATATTAAGCCAATTTTAAAGATAATTTTTCAAAATAACACCTCACTTTTGTGTGGCACTCCAGTAGAAGACAATGTCCACTGGAACATGAACTTGTGTATTTGGTTCACTGTGAGAAGATCAGCCTCACACAGGGCCTGGGCAGACAGGAGGTGTCAATAAACATTTGCTCAATGAGTTTTCTTCCCAAAACACTACCTCATCTGATCCTCACAGAAAGTCTATGAGGCTGGTATTATCTTAATTAAACTTTTAATTTTAAGACAATGGTAGATTTGCATGCAAGTTGTAAGAAATAATACAGAGAGCGCCTGTGTGCCCTTTATCGAGTTTCTCCCAATGGTAACATCTTGCAAAACTTAGTTTAATGTCACAACCAGGATATTGACATATATGCAATCCACTGAACTTATCCAGATTTCCCCAGATTCTTACTTGTACTCAATTGTGTGTGTCTGTTTGTGTGTGTGTGAGTGTATTTAGTACAATGCAATTTTATCACATGTCAGCTTGTGTGTCCACCACCAGAGTCAAGAGACAGAACAGTCCCGTCATCACTAGGAGCTCTCATGTGGCTTTTATATCCACGTCCACCTCCCTCCTCTTCCTTCTTCTACCTCCCTCTCCATCGCTAACCCCTTGGTAATGACTAGTCTGTTCTCCATTTTTATAATTTTGTCATTTTAAGAATGTTCCCTAAGTGTGTAATATGGAAGCTTTGGGACTGGCTCTTCTTTATTTTCTCATTCAATGTAGTTCCCTAGAGATTCATCCAAGTTGTTGTATTCATCAGTATAGTTTGATCCTATTTATTGCTGAACAGTATTTTATGTTTTGAATGAACCACAGTTTGTTTAACCATTCACCCCTTGAAGGTCGTCTGGGGTGTTTCCAGTTTTTAGCTATTGTAAATAAAGCCGCTATGAACAGTTGTGTACAGGTTTTGTGTGAGGCTGGCATTTTTTATAGCCCACGTTACAGAAGAGGAAACTGATGCTCAGAGAGGCACAATCACTTGCTCAAAGTCACTCAGCTGGTCAGTGGAAGGGTTGGTATTTGAATTTAATTTTTGGTCTACAGACTGTGCACTTGGCCCCTGAGCCAGTGTGTTGGCATCTTCCTTGTTGTGGAACGTGACATGATTTTAAGAAGTTCCAGAAAAAAACATTTTAAAAACGTTGAATCACCCCTCTTTTTAGATTTCCTTGCAATTGTTCTGATTTGGCTCTGACATGTTTTTAAAAGCTCTGGAACTACCAAGAGGAAAGTATGTTTCAAGATTAGAACTTTTAGCAGGAACAGGATGTAGCTAAAATTTAAGAAAGTTATTTTGTTTGTATTATTGTTATGGTTATAATTGCCTTCTGCTTTCGGCAAGTGACGCTGTTTAACACTTGTGATACGAGATCAACTTTTTTTTAAAACAAATGTTTTAAAGTAAAATAATAAGTGGATTTAGAGGGAAAAATTAAGTGATAATATAGATGGTGCACAGACAAGGTAAAAAATAGTGGCTGTGGACACAGATGACTGAAATTTAGAAAGCACTGCATCAGGGGGTACAGCAAAGTCCCACCCCCATTCATGTGCCACTTGAACTGCTGTCCAACTCAGTGTGCTGTGTTTTGATACAGCTGACCTGACACACCACTGTGGACAGGTCTTCCATGGGAATGAACTTTCTTCATGCCGGTTATCTGAGGTAGGGTCAGAGACTGAAATCTGGATGATGGGACTCACACATCCAGGGAAGGAATGATGCTCTTAAGGCCAAAGAAAAGCTCCTGAATGGTAGGGGGACAGTATCCCATCTACCACACAGATGTGGGCAGAGTCCACAAAGACACCCAAGTGGGTTCTTAACCGTGCCTGCTTTTAAAAAATGCTATGGGGAGTGATGTAAAAAAAATGGCCTACTAGGAAGCTCTAAGCTCTTAATCCCCAAAAAACATCAAAAACAAACAAACAAACAAACTATCAGGGTCTGTCTGAGCTGATTTTGTCCAGGAGCTCTGGAAAAGTGTCAAAGGTTTACAGCAACCATGCAAAGACTCAATCAAGAAAAAGCCATCTTCAAAATGATAGGAAAGTTTCATGCCATTTTTATTCAGTCTTGTCCCCCCTTTCCCCAGCATGGCAGATTTGGTCTTGAGTAGACAGTAGCCAGGTTCCCAGTCCCCCTGCTCCAACCAGCGGGAGCAGAGCAGATCTTATTTGAAAATTATTGTGTACATCTGTTCTAACTTCTCGGGGGGGGACACCTGAAGGACTGATGCAAGGCACTCATTTCACACAATTCAGAATACAGATGGGAAGAGCAGCAGGAACTGCTCATAAAAGCTACAAGGCAGACTATGAAACTAAAGATGCCTGAGCTAAGAGATTATGGGTGGAGATATACAGTAGACCATCAAGATCTGGAGGAGAAGCTAGGGAGAGATTTTCTGGGAAATTAAGACATTCAAGACAGCTGTGAACATGGGGGAATTTTTAAGGCCATCACATCCCCAGGCAGGACGCATGCTCAGAAAGTCCTGAGAAGACATGAAGCTTTCACATCAGGCTGATCCCTAGGCTCAGAGCAAGCTTGGCTAAGTGCTGGAGGGGTGCCTCACACAGAGCACACTGATCTTGGAAGAAGAATAGATGAACACAGTGAGAACTTCAACAGAGAACTGGAAAATATAAAAAAGAACCAATCAGCACTGAAGAATATTATACAATAATAGAAATGAAAAATTCACTAGAGGGAATCAACAGCAGAGTAGATGACACAGAAGGATGGATCAGTGAGCTGGAGGAAAGAACAGAAGAAATCACTCAAGCTGAACAGAAAAAAGAAAAAATAATTTAAAAGACGAGGACAGTCTAAGGGCACTCTGGGCCAACATCAAGCATACTAACATCCATATCATCAGTGTCCCAGAGGAGAAGAGAGAGACAAAGGGGCAGAGAACCTATTTGAAGAAATAGTCACTGAAAACTTTCCTAACTTAAGGAAATAAACAGATATGCAGGTATAGGAAACACAGAGAGCACCAAACAAGATGAACCCAAAGAGGCCAACACCAAGCCACATTTTAATTAAAATGTCAAGAATTAAAGATAAAAAGAGAATCCTAAAAGCTGCAAGAAGAAAGGCAACAAGTTACATGCAAAAGAAACCCTAAAAGGCTATTAGCTGACTTCTCAGCAGAAACCTTACAGGCTAGAAGGGAGTGCCATGACATTTCAAAGTGCTGAAAGGAAAAAACTGACAGCCAAGAATACTCTACCCAGCAAGGTTATCATTCAGAATGGAAGGAGTGATAAATAGTTTTCCAGAAAAGCACAAACTAAAGGAGGTTATCTCTAAGAAACCAGCCTTATAAGAAATGTTAAAGGAACTTATTTAAGTAGAAAAGAAAAGACCACAAATAGGAATAAGAAAATTATCAAGGAAAAACCGTCACTGGTAAAGGCAAATATGCAGTAAATGTAGCAGATCATATAAAGCTAATATGAAGGTCAAAAGACAAAAGTACTAAAATTATCTATTTCCATAAGAAGTTAAGGGATACACCCACACACAAAAAGAGGTTAAATATGATATCAAACACATAAAATGTGGGGGGAGTGAGTAAAAGTGTAGGGCTTTTAGTAAGACGTCAAACTTAAGAGACCATCAACTTAACATAGATTGCTATTTACGTATGTTATTATATATGAACCTCATGGTAATCACAAACCAGAAACCTATAATAAATACACAAAAAATTAAGAGAAATAAACCCAAACATAATACTAAAGAAAGCCACCAAATCACAAGGGAAGAGAGCAAGAGAAGAACAGAGAAAAACTACTAAAACACCTGGAAAAAAGTAACAAAATAGCAATAACTACATACTTATCAACAGCTACTTTAAATTTCAATGGACTAAATGCTCTAATCAAAAGACATAGGGTGGCTGAATGGATAAAATAACAAGACCCATATGTGCTGCACACAAGAGACACACTTCAAACCTAAAGCACTCACAAACTGAAAGTCAAGGGATGGGAAGAGGTACTTCATGCAAATGGCAATGAAGAGAAAGCTGGGATACCAATACTTATATCAGACAAAATAGACTTTAAAACAAAAACTGTGACAAGAGACAAAGAAGGGCACTACATAATGATAAAGAGAACAATCCAACAGGAGGATATAATACATGTAAATATCCATGCATCCAACATAGGCGCACCTAAATATAGAAAGCAACTATTAACAGACATAAAAAGAGAAATAGACAGTAACATAATAATACTAGGGGACGTTAACTCTCCACTTACATCAATGGATAGATCATCCAAACAGAAGATCAATACAGAAACAATGGCCTTAAATGACACATTAAACCAGATAGACTTAGTAGATATGTGCAGAACACCATCCAAAAACCACAAAATACACATTATTTTCAAATGCACACAGAATATTCTCCAGGATAGATCACATATTAGGCCACAAAACACGTCTCAATAAACAGACAATACAAGAAGATTGAAATACTACCAAGCATCTTTTCTGATCACAATCATATGAAACTAGAAATCGACTACAAGAAGAAAACTAGAAAAGTCAAAAATATGTGGAGATTAAACAAAATGCTACTGAACAACTATTGGGTCAATGAAGACACCAAAGAAGAAATCAAAAAATACCTGGAGACACATGAAAATGAAAATATGACATACCAAAATTTATTGGATACAGCAAAAGCAGTACTAAGAGGGAAGTTTACAGTAACACAGACCTACCTCAAAAAACAAGCAAAATCTCAAA